ATGTATGCTAGGAAGATAATACATGTTTAGTGGATTAGGTATTATATTGCAGTGGAGATTTATATTGTAATATATGTAGAACAGTTTGAATATATATATATATTCATTGAATTTATATAAAAAAAAATACTTTCAATTCATTCTTAAGAATATAAAAAATATTATAGAAGTTCTTAGAAAAAATTATTTGTATTATAATAATTGTAAAGTTGTAATAAATATTTTATTAATGTATTGTTAATAACATTGATATATTTAAATTATACTTAACAAAGCTGTTTTTATAGATTCTAAGTTGTGTTATTTGTCGGGTAAAAAGATTACATGAACTTAGGTTTTTTAAAAAGTTAAACAATTGTGTATATTATACATCTTAAGCAAATGTTATAAATATAATTAATTGAATTTAAAAGAAATTTATTTCAAATATTCTTTAGGATATTTTAATTTTTTTTATGTTTTTTAGGATCTTAAAATAAATCAGTTATTTATTGAATTTTCAATTTAATAATTAAAATTAAAACATATATTATGGTAATACTTTTTATAACAAAATTATAACAATATTCTATAAATTATTTATAATGCAATTCAAATATATTTACAATTTATGTTGAAAATAGTGAAGCGCTGTTTGAACGACCGACTTTATAAATTGATGAATTTTAATATCTAAATTCTCTTTTTCCTTAATGTAAACATCTAGAAGTTTTTGAATGACAAATATTTGAAGGGCATCATTAGTACAATCATTTTAAGAGTCCCCTCGTTATTCGTCGATCTATTCGAATTTATTCATTCTACTCCATATGTGAAATAAAGAATTTTAAGAGGTGGTAGTAGACTGATTTTTTTTTGCACAAAATAAAAATTATTGATAGGGTTTCAAGAATTGGTGTTTTACTCTTGAAAATTTTAATATTTTTATAAGACATAGCACGGACTCCATATACGAGTCACAGCTGGTACCTGGATTCATTTAAAATTTTGCTTGACTAGTATGCATTTAAACTGCTGTATTATCCACGTATCATTGTTGAATTTTACAAATAGGCAAATTTTTGCTGTCTGATTCATGTATCTAGTCTTTGCAATTTGAGCATTCCAGAATCTATTGAATTTATATATTGGACTTTTTTATTTGAAAAAAATATTTTAATCGATTATAAATTAGATTAGAAAATTCATAAAAATTTATAATTTATTTTTAATTTTAATTTAATATGTATTGAAGCAGTTGAAATGGATAAAATATTGAGAACTGTAATCGCTTTTTGTATCAAATAAAGATGTATCCGAATAATTTAAATTCTTGACATTGATTAATTAAATTAAACAAATTTTAATTTATAATAATAAATAACTGAATAAATATATAACAAAAAAACTAATGTTTTTATTGTTTGTAAAATGTATTAAAATAATATGAACGCAATAATACATGAAAAAAAAATATTGTTGTTTTAGAAAAAAAAACAATTTTTCAATAATATCATTGTTGTAATAATTTATTGAATAATGATTTTAATGTTTTTTTGTCAATAAAATTGCCTCATAATTGTACGACTAAAATTTTCTCTTTTATAATGTAGATTATAAATATTCTTTTTATTTTTTTATTAATCGAGAAAAATACATTTGTAAAAATTATAATTCTGTTCATAGTAAATATTTTTTAAATGGTTGCAATTTATATATTTTTATTACAATTTTAATGAAATAAAAAATGTTTAACTTATTTCTATTAATGACTTTTTTAATTCATTATAATTAAAAAAAACTTCTATATATATTAGTTAGTACTTTGTAAATAAATGAAAATAATTCGAATTGGTTAATTTAATAATAATTGATCTAATTTAATAATAAAAATAACAAGTTAGGATTAAATTAATATATAATTATAAAAAATAATATTATCGTAAATTAATATGTATGCTATTAAATAATATAATTATTTTTATTATTATAGCACGAGTAGAAAAGTAATGGCAAAAATGAAGAGAAAATGTTTGTAGAAAATGTAAGAATGGAATTTATTAGAAGAGAATTAAAATGTAGAAATGGAAAGTGTCAAAAGTAAAAGATGTACATTTATGTATTGCAAATCCCTGAATTTATACATTTAATAGGATGTTAAACAAATTGAAGTTACATCACGTTATTAGTGACAATGAAGTGAAATTTACCAAAATCTATTTTTATTTATTATTCGTTTACACGTACTATATAGAAATTTTGTCCAATAATATTGTTAAAATTCTCGTTAATCGTGACGAAAGTCAGTGTCTAGAAAATTTATACTAGAATGTTGTTCCATTTATTTTATGAGATGCCTTACATATATAATTTAAGAGGACATATATCCAGAGTCTTGTTGGAAGTTTTATTATTAAAAATATTAATTCGGATTTAAAAAAAAATATATTCACTGCTTATGATTCTCTGGAATATAGGCGAAAAATAAATGTATGAATTAAATTTTTAACTACTTATTTAATGAAGATATTTTTAGTTTAATATAGCATACCATTCTCTATAAACATGAAATAGAGATAAAATTAATATTTGAATTCTTTCAGTTAATATTTAAGTTAACTTGTATTTTTGAGTCTTTTTAAATAATACTTAGAAAATTTAGTTACATAGTTTAGAATATTTAGAAATTTTAATTAAATAGTTTAGAATAAATTCCAAATTGTACACTTTATAATTGATATTATTTACACTGTATTATCAACAAAATATATATCTGAATCTTATATGAATTTGATATTAATGTATTTGCTTAATTTAGATTAAAATAATAGACCATTTTAACCATTTATTTAGTTTAAAAGTATAGAAGTTTAGATATAGTGAGATTGATAAATAAGATAAACAAGTATTACCTAGGATGTAAGATTATATGGTAATAATACAATTTAACAATAAATAAGTATTTTCATTTATATTAATATTTTATAACCATTTTCTATGGAAATATAAAGATTTATTTATGTATTATTTATGTTATTATATATAATATTTTGAAATCAACAGAAACATGATTGTTTAATTCAATCCTCATTTTTATATTGAATGTATTATAACACAATTATGATAATTTCTTAAATCTCTCTTGAAAAAAGTTCTAAAATAAATGAAAGTCTCTGACAAGTGGAATATATTTTTTGCCTAAATTATCTATTATATATTTCAGAGTAAAATATAAATATTATTTAGATAATTACAATAATAATATTTTTAAATAAATTTGGTAGTTATAGATGCTACATTTTAAGTTTAATGTTTTTATGATTTTTTACCTTAAAACTTTTAATTTCTTTAATAATATTTTTGTTTGATTTACAAAAACTGTCAATTCTTATTTATATTGTTATTTGATACTTTAAGACAATTATATATTCATAATATTTTCTATGTTTAAAGATTAGTTGTACATGACAAAAATAATAAATTTCATAATTTCATATTCGTGTCTTTTTCATGTCTTTGTAGAATTTGATATAATTTTTATTCTGTCTCTAAGAGTATTGTTGCGAATTAATCTTGCATAATAAAATTGTGTTGAACAAGGTGGAAAATAATTCACGTGCGCCTACTGTTGCTTACAGATTACGTCTAGTGAAAGCATGCGCGAAAGCATTACGTATCGTTGGTTTAATTATGCGTGAACTACACAGAATAATAGAATAGTTAACGAATTCCGTAACTAAGTATCTATCATTTGTGCTCCGACAGTTACATGAGTTTTAATGATTTTATTTTGCTTCGTTATTTGTTCATTAAAAATAAATCTTTTAAAACGATTTATTATCTATACTTACATATAGTTATATTGATAAATAAATTTAATTGTTACAAGCTATTGTATGTATTTTATGGTTGATCGTATGTATGTTCTGAATCAAATTTAAAGTAAATCTAAATTTGTAATAGTTATAGTGTAATTCATATTTATGCATTGATTATAAAATTTGTTTTTAGTTTTTAATAATAGAATGAAGTAATATAAAAGAATTATTATAAATTATATAATATTGTAATCATTTTATAATTGTATTTAATATCGAGGATTTTAGATTATATTTTTAACATAAAACACTGATACTTTTGAGTTAAAATTTATTAGTGAAATTTACATCAATGTTCACATTTAATGCAAATAATGTCATAAACATTTCAATGTATATTAGCAGATAGATTGAATAAAAAATTAGTTAATTTCTATAAGCTTAAAATATTGGTGTCATTTGCAGCCAATAAATTATTTGTTAATAATTTTTTTTACATCTGATCCAGAATATTAATTAATATTTGATTTTTATAAGGGATCAATTCAAAACGTTAGGTTATATATTAGTTTATTATATATTAGCTTTTGTAATATTAAAATTAAAATTTTTTTTTCATATTATAAAATATTATAGAATTATTGTTGTAGAAATATAATATTAAAAATATTATCGATTTCTTTAAATTATGAGTAGTGATTATGAAACTTTAATTATGAATAAATTTTTTTAATTTATATGTACGTTACAAAATTAACATGGTTTCAGGAAAAAAGTGATAGGGTTATTAACATAAAATTAATATTCTTTTATTAAATTTTTTATTATTTAAATTTTTAAAGTAGCGTTTATAATATAGCATCTATAGCTTTTACAATATATAGAGAAAATGCACACATTTAACTTTTTTCTAACTAATCTACTTAATTATTTCTGCAAGTTTAGTGATATTTTATATTTTTTATATAAATCTGTATACAAACAGACATATGTGAGGAGAAGATAGTTATATATGTTATATAAATCAAGTAAAGTGGCTAAATGATATGTACATATTTTTTTTATATTAAACATAGGAAATGAAATAAAATAAATATGTGAGTATATAATTTATTTAATAACTAAAGGTTCAGGTTATTGGACTAGGCTATATATATATATATATATACAGCATTTTTCATTACATGATATAATGTTTTTCAGGAATGGAAGCAATAATGTCGGAATTTTTTAATGATACGACAACGGCGTTTTACATTATGCTGATTGTTTTTATTGCCGATCAGTATGATGCCGTTTGTTGTCATACTACTATTACTAAGAGGCATTGGTTAAGGTAAGTTAAGATTTCAATTTAGTCTAATATGTTTTTATTAATTTATTAATGCTATGAAATATTTTCTTAAAATATGCTTCGATATACATAATAAATTAGAAATGTCATTTATTAAAGATTCAAAGTTAATTTATTCCAAATAAATGCTTAATTAAATGACATTTCATTTTATGAATATGTCAATTTTTCATTTTGATTGAGATTAATAATTTTTATTTTTTACAAAGTAAAAAAGAATTTGGTTTTTACCAAACAATAGTACATATTATTTATTTTTCTTTGATCTAGTATTACCAAAATATCTTTTATGAAATACTTTTATGGGTCTGTCCATTATGATTTCATTTTAAATTACACTTATAATATTTTTAATTATTCTTAAATCCAACATAATACATTATAAAGACTAAACATTGTTTCATTAAGATCATCTTATTATATTAATTCCAGATATTTCTTTTTATTGGTACCTTTCTTTATTTTATTTGAATTAGTTAGTGTAAATGGTCTATTTATTACTTTAATATTTCTTATTTAATTAATTAATGGAATTTATTATACTGTGAGATATTAATAATTTATGTCCCATTCACCTTTTTTATTATCAAGCTTTTGTCATAATTAAAATAAATAATATCCCTTTTCTAAAAGATTGTACAGATTTAAGATAATTATCTTTATATTTTTGGGTTTCTTTTTATTTAACATTTTTTAAAAGTTTTGTGAAGATTATTTCTTTTTCCTCTATATTTCGATGATCGAAATTACTTTTTTTTCTAGTACATCATTCTATAAAATATTATAAATAGATATACATAATATGAAACAAATTAATTATAAAATAACAATCGAAATTTAATAAAACTTTTTGAATTTTGGATAATTTAATAAATTTTGTATACGTTTTATTATGTAATGAGGTAATGAAATGGCTATATTTTTACATCTCGGTAAATTAATTTACATCTAAAAATTTGATAACAAGTATAAATATAAATAAGATAAAGTATAAATAATCAATATATAAAAAGTTTATTATAGTTTGTAAATTATTATATCAATTATTTTTAATTTTTATATATTATTTCTAAATTATACACTGATTAATCATTAAATGTTGTAAAATTTACTGAAATTATGTAATTTAAGCCGAATCTATATTTTACTCTAATTTATACATGCAAATAATTAAAAATGTTTATATTTTTCAATGTGAAAAATGCTTTAAAAAAACCGCAAAATGGAAAATGAATTCGTTAGAAAAAAACCAGAGGAATGACATTGGTAGGGCATTTAATTTATCAGTATTATAGCAGATTTAAAATCTGGAAATAAACAAGTTCTCCCATTCTTCTTACTTCGACCCTACAATTTAGTAGATTAAATTTAAAACAATCGGTATGAAGCTCTTATTTTTTATACACATTTTAGCATTTGTAACTTCATATTTTTCATTTTTCTTTTCATCTTAGCAATCTTTTCTGCCTTCTGCACATTTTATATTTGTGAACTATACCTACAATTAATTAAAATTTTTTTAATATTATTAACTACAAAATTATCGACAAGGAAGTTGAATTATTTTATTTGTATATTTTTCAATTATGTACATAATGGATATATACTATATTTTATGGATTACCAATATTTTTTATTATTTATTCACTACAAGAATATCAATATTTATTATTTTTGTAATTCCTTTAATTCTTAAGATATTTTCTTTTTAAATATAATCAGTATAATACTTGGCACCTCTATACTTAATACGTTGTTTAAAAAAAATATATATATATTTGATTCATAAATACAGCTAATTATAAATAAATAAATACTTTTAGTATATTTAATTTATGATTTTGTAATATATAATAAGTAATATTCGTTTTAAAAATCTACAAGCGATCAAGAAGTTATTTAAAGTTTTATTCAGAAATTTTATTAAATTCTTAAATTCAAAAACTATACTGTATTATATATAGAAATTATTAATTTTTTTTTTTTATATAATTCAGTTAATTTGCAATTCCTAAATTCTATGTATTTCTTTTTGAGTTAGATTTAGTATAAATACTTTATAAATAAATTAAATTTTAGGATTTTTACATAAAATGTTATTTATAACTACATAATATATATTATCTACATAGTATAGATAATATACACATGTAATCTATTAATTTATTTTAGTGTATATTTTAATATATGAAAAAACTTCTTTATATTATTATATATTATAGTTAAAAATATTAAATGGTTCGTATTAAAATTAAAAATCTTTATCTGAGGATAAAAATAGTTGAAATTTGCATATGCTTAATATTTATAACAAAAGTTTCTGAACGTTGTTTTAAAATTGTTTCACACATTTATTTAGCAAATAAGAAACCAGTTTATAAAAAATATAAAATTTGATTCATTACATTTTTGTATAATAAAATATAATAGTTTATTGACAATTTACTCATATCATTTACTCATAAATCTACAGTTTTTAAATGTATATATATACTACGAAATATTTCAGATATGTCTCTTATACGAAAATTCATTTCTTTCTTAAATTTTGAAATAGGTGTCTAATTTCCATTTTTATACTTCTATTCTTCCATTCTTCTCACGCTTATTTCGAATTTTAAACGGTGGTCATCATTGTACTCATATAAGCATACGTGCTTGTCTTTTATTAATGTATGAAACATTTTGTCACATAATGGATTCGTATTGTATATCGGAGGGTTGGTGTGAGATAAAATTTTCTAATTAAAATGGACCTGTGATAATGACAAGTATTATACAATGTTCGACAGAATTCAGTTCAGTCAAATTAGTTTGATTTTGAGGCAATGAGAATTTTAATCTTGCTAGTTAACTATAAACCCATTCTGTGTTCTAATTGTGATTATATAAAACAATTCAGTATGTATTTTGAATTTGTATTATTTCGGGGACACATAAGAATGCAAAACGAATATGGAAGTATAATGGTAGCATTATTTGTTCATTTCTACTTTGTAATTATATTCCAATTTTATATTGGAATATATTTCAGTAAGCTTTTAAAAAACTGTAAGTAGAAAGAATCAAGTTACGTAGAATAAACATTCTAATTCTTCCTTCCCTCAGACATTTTCTCTCTCTCTCTCTCTCTCTCTCTGTCTCAGTATATATAGTTTATGATATGATTGCGATTTGTTTGCTTATAATATAGATCAAAATCTCTAGAAGATAAAATTATCTGTGAAAATAACATTACGCATTTATTTAAATAATTTTAAGTTTAATCCAAACATTTGAAATACAAATATTAAAAGTAAAAAGATTAATTTAGTTTAATGAGATTTAATTAATAAAGAGCTATAAATACAAGTATAATTATATTTTTTGAGTAAAATTATATAGTTGATTCTAAACTACTAAATTAAAATTTTTTCTTGACAATATAATGTTGAAATATATAACTGTGAAGTTTTGTCTATATTAAAAGAATAAAGTTGTATATAATATAGAACTTGATTATATACGTGTGCGCGCGCATGTGTTTATATATGTATATGTATTTATGATCATAGGATTTTATAACCAGTTTCATATAAAATGGTTATATTAAAATATAGACAAAATATTCGTTTTTCTAATAAAATTAGTAGTACTAGATTATGGGTATTAATTTTCAATCTTGATAAGTTGAGCAAATTACCAAACCTTGTGTGTTGTCAAAAGCATCATCTGCGGTTACAATTCTAAATAAGAAAAGAGAACTAATAAATTTTATACGGATATTAATATGTTTACTGTATATAGTACAATTTAACATCTATTTTTAAACGTATATTCAGGATTTTTTATATTTTTAAAATATATGTTTGTAATATCATATATATGTACTGTAATATTTATGTGACAAGCATAAACAATTTTTACATAAAAACTTGTTCCATAAAAGGAGTAATAAAATTTTTAAATACATTTATTATTTTTTAGAATTGTAAAATTTATTTAATTAAATTCTAACGAAATTTCACATTTTCCTACTGTGAAGATGTCAAATATTGATTTTTTTTGTATTTATATAATGAAATAAGTTATTAAGAAAGTTGTAATGAACCCAGTTGCTCCCTTTAAAAACAACTTTTTTATAAAAATATTTTGACAATTATTAAATGTGCTTATCAATTATGTATATAATATATCATCTTATTATGTTCGAATAAACACATTTGCATATAGTTTTCTAAACATAGAGTAAATTACAATCCAAATTTATTTAATTTTTATCTGGCCATCAAAATAATTAAAATTAAAAAAAACATCTTTAATGAAATGTATTCATATGAAAGAAAAATATTTAGAATATATGTAATATAATAATATAATTATTTGAAATAAATCTACTTTTATATCGAATTTATTAAAGTTGATACATTATAATGTATAATTATTTAAAATATTAATAAAGGCTCAGTATTAAATTAATTTAATTCAACTAAAAATTTACTTTATAAAGGCAATAAATTAAAAGTATGTAATTCGTAAATACGTTCTATCATCGTTGTTTTTACAGTACTATAATATTTCATAACTTTTTATTTTAATTATATTATAACTATAATTTTAATTACATTATACGAAAAGATTTTTTAAGTTGAAGGAAAGGAATCATAAAAAGTGACAAAACAGAAATAGAAAATTAAAGAATCCCGCAAGTACTAAAAAAGGAGAAAAATAAAAGTGAAAGTAGTTCGGTGGAGTTTAATATGATGAATGTATGTGACTGAGTTACGTACCATTTCACGTTATTCGTATAAGACTTTCTGCTCATATTTTTACTGGAATCTGTATTTATTTTTCTATGATCCTTACTTGTTCTGAAAATAATACTTTTACCATTATGGCGCAAACAGAAGCTGAAAAGAGTTCATCGATAAACAAATAATTATCAAAAGCACGTTCCCTCGATCAATTTTGTGCGTTGATATCTCACTAAATTACCAATGTAT